CATACAGCTGTTTCAGGGCAGAATGAATCTCCTTGTCCTTAATATCTTCAGGAAGAATCAGTCCCCATGTAACCATCTGCAGGAACAAGTCACAGCAACTTCTGGGGAGTCTCAAGATTGCAAATGGGAGTTTTATGTCTTGGTGTAGGTGTGCCTTGATGCTTTTCCTTTCCAGCCTGGATGTAGGAGTGCAGCTACTAACATCTGAACGTGATTTTTCAGAATTTGGGATGGGGGAGGTAAAAAGTCAACCTGCTCAGCCCAGACCTATTCAATGCTTTGCATAATAATTAACAAGGTACAAGCCGTTGCCTAGTGGGCAGTTTTACTTTATGTGCCCTTCAGTTCTGACTAACTGGTAAGCTCTGTGATTTAATCCACTACCTGTCTTCTTTACATGTCTTGGCCTTTGGGTAAAGCTGCAGTAGTCATTATTGTATTCCCTTGGTGGTAGCTTCTTCTTTTTTCCTTTGGTAGCTCATCCAGTGAAACCTATAGTTTTCATTGGATACCCAGGTCTTTATCCTTTCTCTTACAGTGAACTAAAATTTAGAGAGCAGATCTGAAAAATCTGAGCATCTCTGTGGGCTAGGCAGTGAGCAATTGCCAGGAATAAATGATGATGAAAACAAAGATCATTTCCCCTCTGCCAGGAACTATTTGAATACTTCACATACGTTGTTTAATTCTCACTAATTCTCTAAAATAGGTTCTGTTGTTTCCCCTATTTTACAGATGACAAAATTGAGGCACAGAGAGGTTAAATAATTTGTATCTAGTCACACAATCAGTTGAGAAGTAAATTTAGGATGATGGTGAATGCTGCAACGTGGTCCTCAGACAAAGGTGCGGTTACATCCATGCTTTAAAGAGGCTGCTGAAGTTGAGGGAACCGCTGGAATATACCCGTGTTTGTCTTCAAGTACTCAGCTGCTGGATTTATTGTAGACTCTTCCCATTTCAATCCCTCTGGAGGCCCTGGATTCTGTTGAGTTGAACAAGTATTTACTTACAAACCCATGGGTTCTAGGTCCTGTATCATATATTATATATACAGAAATGATTTTATTTTGTTATTTTATGTTCTCATGTAATTTAGTCAGATCCCATTGGCTATTTCAGTTAATTTTCCTTTGGAGGGAGTCCAGAGTTACCTTTTGATCTCTAGTGCTGTGTTAGTCACATAGAAAATATCCAGACTTGATACTGAATATCTATTGGTCAGTAAAATTTGGTACTGTCGCTCCCCCTCTTCGTGGAGGAGCAACACAGGACCCTGCGCTGTTCTTTCGTCTGCTCGGCCCTCCCCGGGTTTGCTGCTGGTTCTTCCCGGGTTGGCTACTATCCCTTCCACCTCCGTGGAAGGGCAGCTCCCCCTGGCCGCATTCCCCACTTCCGCAGGGGAGCGGCACACCGCCGGCCGGCTTTCTCGGGGGCTGCACGGGTTCCCTTAGATGTTCCCCATAGATGTTCCTGGTGCATGCCGTCTCTCTCCTCCTTTATAGTCCTCCTCCGCCAATCCTAACTCGGCTGCCCACACGCCGAGTACGCTGCTCTCCAATCAGGAGCAAGTCCTACAGTTTATTGGTTGAACTGGAGGCAGCTGTGCGGAAGCTGTTTACTTCTCTCCCAGCGCCATATTGTGGGAGAGCAGATGCATAGAATAAGTCTTAATTCCAGTAACTTAGTCTAGTCCGGTTTGCTCCCCACAGGTACAAGTAATATCAGTGAATAAACATTTTTATTCTACAAATATGTGTGTTTGGTTCAGTTAGTTCAGTGATGGACTAGTATCCTACATCAGCCTTATCAAAGAACCTGAACTCCACTTTTAATAGCATGTCACTTTTGGCTTTATGCCTCACTTTTCTGATCGATGTAGTAGACTAAAAAGTTCAAGAGTTTCAGTGTTGAGCTCCTATTGAATTGGCTTTTGAGAAGCAAACATGATAATGAAAAAATCATACAAGACATCAGGACATGTGAATTATAATTCCTATTCTTATAAGTATTATTAACTATATGAGCATTGTCCTGATGTCTCACTTTAGTCATATACAAATTAGGGGGTTAGACTAAGTGATAGTTAAGGTCACTTATAAACTCCCATCATTTGTGGACAACTCATGCCATGACTAGTCCTTTTGGCCAATCTTGGAGATTCTTTTTGACTGTAGATAATTATCTTAATTTTGAGTCTTAGTTTTCACGTGTTTCAAATGGATTTGATAATTCCTGGCATGCCTTATTTATGGGACTTCCATGAGGTACTGGGAATCTGAGTGCTTTGAGTAACATATTTCATGAACACAAGATGATATTATTCTTACTGAAAACTAACAGAAAGGTGTTGGGTTTCTTGGTACCTTCCAATCCCTCCCCAACCAAAAGGATTTAAAGAGGAGTTTGATCCCAGTCAGGCTGTTTTCTGGAGTGTACGGAAGTCCTTGGAACTCTACAGGGTCAATAGGGGCTTTGTGCAGCTGTGGGTCAGTTTCCCACAGTTGGGGGAAGGGTGCCACAGTGTTTTCCTGACAACACTTTACCAAACACACCCGCCACACAAAATGCCACAATTTCTTAGACAAAGGTGAGGTGTGGAGTTACAATAACCTCCACTTTGTTAAAAGCCTCCTCGGAATCGGAGATCTTCCCCACAGGCCAGCAGACAGGCAAGTGACCCCCTCCCCCGTTTATGGTTTATAAATGCCTTATACATTAAGTCTGAGAATTCACACCCTTCTCCCCCAGTTTGTGTTGCATCTAACTTGGTCTCTCACTGGGGATATTTTTAACTCCTTCTAACTCCCCTCAGTTCCTTCAAGGAAGTGTGATCCAAAAGGGTCAGACACTTGGCTTCTACTTAGGGGAAAGCTTTGAAAGAATTCTTAAGGGCTCTCCCTGGGTAAGGCCGTCTTTCCCCAAAAGAATTGGCCCTTTAGAGTGTGTTTGCCACATAAGGGCTTGTGCAAGGCCCCAGGCACCAGCTGACGGCCGTGTCTTCCCCCACAACAGATGGTCAAGCCTTCAGTTTCAGCAAGTGATCCTCTGCTGGGGGTGGGGGTGGTGGTGGCGGGGATCCGTCCAGCAGGCCACGTGATGGGGCGGCTTAGGATAACAGGGATCCGGTGTGCGCCCCGCATGGCTTCTGTGCTAACGATGGGCTGCTGACAGGTGCCTTGCCCCTGGCTCATCTTTGAGGTAGAAGATCCCCTGCTCCCTGGATTCTGTTTCTGTCTGGCAGAGCTAGTGTCCTGTTTGCCTGTCTTTCAAAATCTATTTGGCACCAGATGGACCCCCTCATGGAGGCTAGCAGTTGTCTGATGTGAAGATGCCAGAGGGTGTGCTGACAGCTCCTTCTAACACAACCTGACTCTGGCTGTCGGTGCTGGGCTCAAATGGCTTAAACACACGTGAATTTTATCTACTCCAGGGAGCCAGACAGGGGGCTCCACTGGAGGCAGTGTGACCATGACGTCTCCCTCCATAATATTCACAGTGCTATTGTGGAAAAGATCTCCAAAATGAGGAGGGCAGTGGGGGATATTGGAAAGCAAGGGTCCTGTCCAGTTAGTGGGAAGACAAGCGAATGTCTGAATGTTCCCATTTTGCTTAGGGTGTACATGCTGGCAAGGAGCTGTGGGATGGAGTTAGCCTGGCCTGCATCTAGTCCTGGGCTCCCTCATATCCTTCTTCTGCTTATGGAAACCCTGGCTGCTGTCAGAGGTTAGGGCAAGGACTTCTGTGACTTCTTTGACCTGAGTAGGGGTGGAATAGGGACCCATGGTCAAGACAGGGTTTCAGTAGGTGGCCTCTCGAGGGAGCTGCAATGCCAGCTCACAGGAACTGTCTGCATTCAAACTTTCATGAGTACGGCCACCTAGAATTTTGCTGCTTCAAGTCTGGAGGAAATGAATCTAACTAGCAGATTAAATACACAGGGCCCAAAACTAAGTCAGAGTCATTATTAGAGGATCTAAGAAAGGTGCTGTCTGAGCCTGGAGGGCGTTTTCCCATTGAGTAGCAAACAGAAACTGATAGGAGGGGCTTGATAATAATAAAGTGGGTGTTAAGGCCTGGCTAGGTATATATGAGGCCCAGAACCACCTATGTCTTTACATGGAGTACTAGAAGAGGCATCCTCAGGGGGGTGTGCATCTCCTTAGAGAAAACACCCTGTTGACTTCCATTATCTAGCTGGCCTCAGTAAGAGGTTAGTATTAAATAGGTGACATCTCCGAAAGGAAATGTGCAGTTCTGCTCTCCCCCGATGGTAATGGTTACTTGGTAAGCTGGTCAGAATGAAGACCTTTCTCAGTTTACAGAGGGCCAACAGGGCCTGAGGCTGTGACTCAGGAGTCCTTCAACCCCAGGGCAGTTCTGTTTCTAGTGGCCTTGCTCTTGGGCAGGTCTCTTCAGGAACTGGTGCCTGTCACAATAGCTGCTTGCCCAATGCCCTGGCTTCTCACATTGAAAACTGGTGCCAATGGGGGGTGAACTGGCTTTGCTGGGTCTCCGTGATGGCAGATCAGTGTGTAAAGCAGCCATTAATTGGCTTGCCACCTATCCCTACATTGCTGTGATCTTCATCTTATAGTCAAACAGTGTGTATTTTTGCCAGTTCACCATCTGTGAACTTATAGGGCTTGCATTACATGTTGTTGTTGGGGATCGTGAGAATTCTCAGACAATTATGTCCAATGGGAACCTATCTTAAATTATGTTGAAGACTTCCCTCTGTTGAGTGAAAAATACTTCCTTGGGGGTTTAAGTCTTTTCTGAGATCTGGCAATGCTGTGGTTGTTCCTTTCATAGATAGGGTCTAGCTTGGATACAAAACAAAGGCTAAAGCTTCAAATAAAATACTGGCTCTAACACTATTGTGAATTTTTCAGAAAATGCAAGAAGAAAATGGAAGGCACACCCCAGAAACAACTTGCTACTTTTTTTCCTTCCTGTGCCAACTGAAATGCTAACCACGATCATTTGTTTCTCCACAGGTTCTTCTTGAAATTTTTCCTCAAGTGTAACCAAAATTGCCTAAAGAATGCAGGAAACCCACGTGACATGCGGAGATTCCAGGTAGGTCTGTCTTGTCTTTCTTAAATTTCAGTAATAACGTGAGTAGCAGGAGTGGGTAAAAAGTCTTGAGCCTGGGAGATCCAGGGTATAGTTGTTTCCCTAGAGGTGAAGAGCAGCTGCAGCCCTCGGTCCCCCAGGTATCTGCAATCTAGAAGTTGTTGTTTTTACTGGAGAAAAATTGGAATTGCACCACCTGTGCTCCCTGGTTAAGGCAGTGAACTCCTTGGAGTCTAGTTTTGACTTCCTGAATAGACTCATGTGTCTACCCCGCATAGATTATGTGATGTACATAGAAATGATGAATTCTTGAACTAAAATTTTGCAAGTAGAATATCCAGCAGTAAGAGTAAAATTGGTAAAACTGTTCCTAGAATTATGACCCCCTCTGTTTTCCTTTCTCTCTGTTCTTCTTTTCCAATCTTGGAAATTGGTAGCAGAAATTGCCCACAATAAATGGATCCCCTGATAACAAAATGTTTAGAGTGATGTGACTGGCACTCAATTCTCTCTCAGAAAGGTCCTTGTATAACACATGGAAATGTTCTCAAGCATCAGTCCCATCTGCCACCATTGAAACATGAGCGGTTGCTAACCTCGCAGAATTATGTCTTGAGTAAGGCAAGGGGACTCAAAAACATCTTAGCTTCTCAGACACAAAAAGGTACTTGAGTGTTAGGAAAGGTTGCTGTGTTCTAGGCACAGGCTACTCTAACTTAAGAAGCTGACTATCCCCAGGGGATCTTGTTAACCTGCTGATTGAGGTCAGGGTGGGACTGGAAATCAACAGTTCTAACAAGCTCCCAGGTGTTGCCAAAGCCACGGACCATACTTTGAGCAGCTAAGTTACAGATCCTTGGGTTGGTCTCCATCTAATTTTATGGCTAACTTATTTGCATGGTCAGTGTTAGTTTCTATCAGAGTAATGACCTGTATATGCGTGCTTGCCTGGTTTATCAGGGGAACAGCATGGTGTTTTAAGTTATTTTGTAAGGTATACTTAGTATCTTGAAGCATAGATTGCAATGAATGATTTTTGAGAAGCTCTTAAACTTTTAGCTGCACCTTTGCTGACAGAAGACAGAGAAGAGATGATTTTGAACACTGACTCTGGATATCACTGTCTCTTAGCCTCCAAAACAACAATTTTTAAAAAGAGATGAGACGTATTAGCCTCATTAAAGAACAAATTCAGTAGGAAGAAGGTATTTTTCCCTGAGATTCTGAGGTGTTTCTATAAAATTCCTTGTGGCTTTGCCACCTTTTCTTTTGGCAGAGATGAATAGCGTGGATCTGTAGATTCCTAGATTCCTAGTTTCTTGGAAAATGCTTTTGTTGCCAGATTCTGACCTCAAGTTGGTAAACTTGGGTCTTCTCATTCTCAAACAGGATTTTTATTTTGGAGGTTCAGTTGAAGTCATCAGCTTTGTAATTCAGTTGGTGAAATCACACATGTGATGCTACTAAACGTGTTTGCTGTCTTGCACCATGTCTTGAAACATTGGGTTTCAGTATAAACTGTTTTGTGGCTTGCTTTGAGATGAGCCATATGTCTGTTCTGACTGAGTTTGGGTTTAGAATAAAGCATAGCCAGGAGTGAAACAATTTGGGTTTCCTGAGAAGTTCTAGCACCTTGTGAATATCGGGACCAAGTTTATCACACTTCTCGGGGCAGCAGTGTTCAGGATGGACTTTAGTGACAAGAGGGCAGTTGTGTAGAACTTCTGAGGCCTTGCTTGCCATCACAAGATCTGCTAGTAAAAATGTCTGAAAGCCTCAAGGTAAAGAAAAACTCTTAAATAACATGAAAAACCAATTCAATTTATTATTTTTGACAGTATCTAGAAAGGTTTACTTGTGCACACAAAATAGTTATCTCAGTAGCCTTCTACCAAAGAATAAGAAGTCACCAGTTATACTTATCATGAACAATAAAATGGAATAAAAATGACGACACTATTTCAATATTTATCAAGGAAAAACATTTTGCATATGCAAGTAATTTGTAAATGAGCAAATATAAATGTAAGCCTTTGCAAGAAAAATCATTGGGATAAACTGAACATGGCTTACTAGTTCATTATAGTTTCTTAGCCTGAGCATAATTAATATTTTAGCTGGACAAACATTGTCGGGCAATAGAGGGATTTCCCCGTGTGTTGTAGAACATTTAGCAGCATCACTGGTTCCTACCCACTAAATGCTGTGGTCACCAAAAATGTTTCTAAACATTGCCAAATATCCCCAGGGGTAGAAAGGGAGCCAAAATTGTCCTTGATAGAGGACTGTTAGTTCAGTCCTGTGCCTGATGACCTCTGACAGACTCTTCCTGGTGGTAGAATGATTGTCTCAAAGAGTGCACCCTTTGATTAGGCATGCAAGCTGCCCCATGCAAGGTCCATACTGTCTTTCAGAGAAGCAGATTTTTTTTTTTTCATGGGCGCTGACAATATTCTTGACTAGGATTTTCAAACATGTCCTAAAAAAGACCTTTTCCAGTAGGGGCAGCTACCTTAGCCACCACAGAATCAATATTTGAATTGAAGAACTTTGTCTCTGTTAATGAACCATGCCAGATTTCTTACTGAATCTCATGTTTAACCTACTTTGTTTGCTGTCACTCACTGATTGCCTCCTGGGATAGAAGAGAAGGAATCTATAGAAAATCTACACTTTGTAAATGTACATAGATACAAAATGCATTTCCTATCATTGCTACACAATTAACATTTGGCTTTATACATGTAGGCATGTGATTATTTTTGCAATCGGAGAATGGATGCATTGCCTCGAGAGAGTTAAACCAAAACCTCAAATATCCCTGATCCAACATCTTTTAATTTTTTCTTCAGTATTTCTTTGATTATTTACTCTCACCTTTCTCCATATCATTTCATGCTGGCAACCTTTCCATTTTGAATCCCTCTCTTTCCCCTTGGGTTTACTCATTCTTAACCCACTCCAACAGATGTTTTTTGTCCGTCTTCATGTAAAACCTGATGTTCCCTAAGTTTCTTTCTGAGATTCAAATGTTGTCTTATATTATGGGCTCTCTTGAGTATTTTCCTGCTTCCAGCATTTTAACCTTACTTGTGCACTGAGGACTCTGGGGTCATGATTTGAGGCTGGACACCCAGGTATAGATCTAATTGTCCTGATTCTGCCTGGATATTTCCAGAAACTTCAGCTCAATAAACCTCAAATTAAACACATTGTCATCTTCCTTTTTTTCTCTTCTACCCCAAGCTGGCTTCCCTTCCTATATTTCCACTGTGGTCCATTCCTAACTGTTGCATCCATTCGTCAGCTAAAATAGAATGTTACAAAAACCAGTGTCACATGAATTTTATTAAAAATGAGAAGCAAATGAGAGACAAATGAGAGGCAAGGTAACCGATCGGGACCGGCCGCCGATCGGGACCAACACTCCTTACCAGAGTACGGCCCCCAGCAGCGGGTTACACAGCTTTTTATAGTATTCTGTCCACTAGGCCTCACAATTTTGAACCAGACCCCTGGTATGCAGTGAACAATAAAGAGGAAAACCAGAATATGGTTGTAAGATAACTGTTAACAAGAACAAACCCAATAACAGATCCAAGACATGGTGGTAAGATAACAGTGACGGATGCATTTCGGTCAACGTAGTTCCTGGGAATTTGGATCCACATAGTTTCACAAGATACACCCTTAGGCATTAGCAAGCAAAGCTAATATGTACAGAAGCAAGAGATGTGCAGTTAGCTTTTAGCCACACTCACTCCATTTTGATTCTGATTCTACATAACTACAGTTGGTGCTGAGCAGATGACTGTTTGTCTGTGTCTACTGTGACCATGGTCCACATCCATGTGTATAAATACATATATCTATTGTTCACCTTTATATACATCTATGGGCAGTGATGAATATGATAAAGCTCACATATATTGGATACTTAATTTAAGAAGCATTGTGTGAGGTATTTTGTATGAATTATATTTACACTCATAATGTACTTGTAAAGAATGTGTAAATATGAATTATTCCTTGTTTACTAATGAGGGACTAGACTTGGATCCATTAAGCAATTTGGCCAAAGTTACATCTCTACTGAGTTGGGTAAGGTAGTGATTCAACTCAAGCTACCCTCAGGTATTATCTAATGGTTTCAAATAAAAAATTGTCCAGAGTCTGTAGGCTGACACTGAGGCAGTAAGGAGATTTCCTAATATCTGACAGCCATGAAAACAACTCAGGGATATGAGTGTTGGAATCCTGCAAAACCTTAAGCGGGTTTGCAAAGATAGTATCTGCGCTAACAGAGACTAAATAGGCCATCCACGTGCAGAACACTAAAATGCCACTGAAGTTAAGCAGAGAGTAGATTGGTGTAGAAGGGGGAGGACCTGAGCAGTGTTGCAGAATGGAGCTAGTATTGGTCAATTTTCAGTTCAAAGTTTAGTTTTGATTTATTTGAAAGACAGAGAGAGAGAAGGGAAGGGCAGGGGAGGGAAGCAGAAAAGAAGAGTGGAGTCTACATATGCTTGCATCCACTTGTTCCCTTTGAAATGGCAGCAACGGCTGAGACTGGGGCAGGCTGAAGGCAGGACTGAGGGAACACAGTCCAGGTCCCATACATCAGTGGCAGGAACCCAGGTATTGGAGTCATCACCGCAGCTTCCCAGGGTATGGATAACCAGGAAGCTAGGGCGGGACTCCAACTGAGGCACTGTGATGTAAGAAAAGGACATCTTAACCAGTGTCTGAACTGCAAGGCTAAATGCTTACCCCATACTGCAGCTTTAGAAAAACGGGCTTTTACTTACCAGTCAGCCTGACCTTCGTGTAACCTGTGAAAACTCCGGGTAGTTCTCTGGGATGAAAAAGCCCCCACATATAGGTGGGGCCTGAGTGAGGTTGTTGGTTGTCCCTAAATCCCTTGGAGTCCTCGGCTAGGAGACCAATCTGAGCACTGGTCCACGAAGGGGAAGGTTCGTCTACTCGGCAACTCTCCTGGCTAA